CCTCAACCCACCCCTGCCACCTCCAAATGGCCAGGAATTTGGATCTCATTCGAGTTGGGGCGTGGAAGGGGTGGGTGGGCAGCAGTCTCGATCAAGCAGAGATCTGTGGGGGCGCAGCGAGAGAGAGAGAGAGAGCAGAGAGAGAGAGAGAGAGAGAAGGGGGGAGAGGGAGTGCGGCGTGCCCTCAGAGACACATCTCCATCACAAAGGCCTGTGCCCTGGCCGGCTCGGTGCCGGCCTGTGGTGTACGGGCACAAACTCCACCCCCTCCCGCTTCGCCCCCCGCTCCATTCCCCTCCCCACACCCCCGCTTTACAATCCAGGCGCGCGAGTGGCTGGAGGACTTTTATTATGAAGTGGCGAGAGAGAAAATGATGAAATGCGCGTCCTTGTGCACCGCTAAAAATATGCGAATGCCAATTATTTCGCGCTGTTTCTGCATTACTGCAATTAATTATCAATTTCCGTGACGCACTTTACTGCTCTCATCTCTACTCGAGTATGACATTTTCAAATTTATCCAAATTGTCAACAAACACACAATTCGTAGAAAGTTTGAGTACAGTGTAAACGACTGCACAAGAAATCAAATTGTTAAATATCGATTCAAAAACAGTGACTCTTTCCCACCGTTATTTATGATGATGTCCAATTCGAACGCCCGCTTCTCGGCAGCGAAACTAGATCGTGTTGGCCTCGAGTCTGCCGGAGCCCTTGGAGAGGCTTCGTCTTCGGTCGGGCGCTCTGAAATGCCCAGAAATGCCGATGCCGAATAAAAAAAACTTCTGAGCTCGAGGGAAAAGTCAAATACAAGTTTAAAAGTTGCCATAGATCATCTCATACCTGCTGATATTTTTATTTCTGGTTTTTGCAGATCGTTTTTAGAAACTGTTCATTGAAACTGCTGATTATTGTCTTTCTTGTTCCAGGTCTCTGGTCCACGGTTCATCATCGCCCGTCACCTGAACAGGAAGGTATGTTGACGATGTTGACGCACTCCCGGTGTGATTGGTCCCGGTCAAATTCTCCAAACACAATTCTGTGTAATTTTAAAGTAACAAGTAACAAAACAAATACAATCGTACGATCCCAGACAATAGAACTTTTGAAACAAACTCTCTAACATCCCGATAAATTGACATCATATATAAATAAATCTTTGTCGGCCTTCAATTTTTTTCCAATTACTATAAATTCGTGATAGAAAGCTAGGAAATTTATTTAATTTGTGTAAGAAATTCTCTCTTATGTACAGATTATTTTATTTTATTCGGGAAATCGAATTCCTCTTCTGGCCCGACCGCGCGTATCCCTCACCTTCACCATCACCCAATATCAAAAGTTTGGTAACAAGCTTCGCTCCTTTCTTTTATTTCTCCGCTTCAGCTTCTTTTTATTTGTTTCGTTCGGTTGGGGCTGGTATACTTTTCGCTCTCAGAAGGGCCAAGCAAGCAATCCATGGCGGATTGGTGGCAAGAATGGAACGGGGCAAATTTTATTTCCGTGTCCGTGTATAAGTGCCAATTGTACATTGTGCTATTTTGCAAGCAGTGTGCGTGTCCATTGATTGCACTTGCTAGTAGTGTGACGGCGGCAACCGCCAATAATTGAGAATCTCGGAGTCGGTTGAGAACGCCGCGATGAAGACATCGTTGGCCGCATGCACTCCGGTCAGCTCGGGGGACGGACGCGGACGGGAGGGCAGCCTGAGCCAACCGGATAGAGTGACTTGCCCTGCCCGCGTCCAGCCCCCCGGGAACGAAGGCGGCGTCATGGCGCTCAACAACTCCTTACCCTGCACGTGGAGCTGGGCTGGATAAATTTGCGCTGCGCTTGCAACGCGCTCTTAAGGAGCGCTAGCCTTGGTGTCACTCTGATACAGTAAACCTACATACACACAATTACTTCAGGTCGAAGCCACATTCTGCCACTTTCCCCTGTCCTCTCTTATTGCTGATTTCTTGCAACTCGCTATGTATTATCATCCGACTTTGAGGTGTTGCTCCGTTCTCCCCCCCTTCCCCCTCTCTCTCATTCCCTGTCTCTCCCTCTCTCTCTCTCGCTCGTCACGGCTCGCGCACACGAACACGCCGCGCCATGCTCCACTCATTAGTCACGTGAATGATATGCTTGTCCGCAACAGTCCGGGCGGATGTTTGACGCTGCACAGAGAAAGTAATAGGGTCAACTGTGGAAACGGGCAAAAGCCTGGGCAACTTTTTGTCAATTTAAAAAAACAAAATAAAAAGAGAATGTGTCTATGCTGTTACATACCGTTTCTATATCTACTGTGTGAAAAAAAAATGGTGAGGGAGAAAACAACTCTAGTCGTTGTAAGTTAGAGGGGGGGGGGATAAAAAGAGGTTTGCGGGGAGGGGGTGGGGGAGGGGGGACTGCCGTGGTCGCACCATACCGGTCGACACAATGCGCTACACTGCCAGGAGTTTTTATTTCGCCGCCTTGCATTCCCCGCCGTGCTGTCGTCTGCTTGCCGCTGCTCCTCTTCCTCATATGTCAGCGCCGAGCCACGCGAAGCACATGTACGACCCTGAACGGGTTTGTGTGAGTGTGTGCGCCTCTACACTGTCGCGCGGGAATTTATAAATCTAATGCAACGTATATAATTGGAGAGATTGAGGAAGATAACGAAGAAAATGTAATACTTGTTCAGATTCAGCGGAAGGCTCGTGTGTATAATGTTTTGTTTTTTTCCAGAGTGCGCGCGCGGCAATGAAAAGGGAATGAACACGCTCCGTAGCTTGCCGCCATTAGAGCACCGCCGCCGTGCCCTGGCGGGGGCCCTGGCGGGGGCCCTGGCGGGGGCCCTGGCGGGGGCCCCGGCGGGGCGGGTGGTTAGGCCGGAGACATACCGGGGCGGTGTCATGACGTTGTCTCGCGGTGGCAGGTGCCGTGGGGCCCAGGAGCAGGCGCAGCGGGCGCAGCCAGAGGGCGCGGCGGGCGCGGCCCTCCTGTCATCATGCTTTGCTGCCGGCTTCCATCCTCTCTCTCTCTCGCCCCCCCCCCCCCCCTCGGTCCCCTCTCGCCTGCTCTCCCGCTCTCCCTTCTTGCTCCTCGTCCTCTCCGGTTGTGGTGGTGTGCCTTTATGCTGCAGGGCCTTTCGGTACAAAACCATGACCCCGACACCTCTCTCTCTCTCTCTCTCTCTATCTCTCTCTCGCCTGCTCTCCCCCCCCCCCTCTCCGCTCCCTCTCTCCTTCTCCCTCTTTCTCAGCCGGTATGGAATGGTGTTTAGCGGTGGAATTAATGATGATGGGCCGTGGAATATGATAAGCACACCCCGGCGGAGCGATGGCCCGGAGAGAGGCGGGGAGAAACGAGAGAGAGAGAGAGAGAGAGAGAGAGAGAGAGAGAGAGAGAGAGAAAGAGAGAAGGGATCTTCATATCTGGAATGATCGAAGTGGTTAGCATCACTTATGCATCAACTCGGGTCGCAAACTCGCAATAAGTTCATTTCAACGAGCTTCCCTGGGTAAAAAAACCATGGGGCTGTCCATGAGCCATGGACATAAATTTAACCATGGATTTTTCTGACCATAGATTTATGGAACCAGTAAACCATGAAAACAACTGTTGACCATGAGTATAGTGGATGGATTGCATGGCCATGGCTAATGTGCTCCATGGCAAGGGATG